ATTGTGGGATCTAACACAAATGATCACATCAATAAAGGAATTAAACGGTTTAAACGTTTGAATTGATAACAACAAATAAACACAACAGCAGAACGTGCACGACATCACCCTTCGTGCTTTTACTCTCGTTCTCACCATAAGAATCAACATTCACTTTTATTCTTTCTTGTTGCGGCGTGCAACCCGATCCCAATCATATGGTACTGTTGCGGCGTGCAACCCGATCCAAATCATATAGTGATATTGCGGCGTGAAACCCGATCCAAATCATATAATATTGTTGCGGCGTGCAACCCGATTCGAATTATATGATGATGTTGCGGCGTGCAATCCGATCCATTTAATATTGTTGCGGCATGTAACCCGATCCATATAATATTGTTACGGCGTACAACCCGATCCATTTAATATTGTTGCGGCGTGCAACCCGATCTATATAATATTCAAACCAACACTAATTACAAAAGAATCCCGGCAAGGGAACAATAAGGAAACAACCATATCCCGGCAAGGGAGTCAACAACAAGAGTAAATACATCCCGGCAAGGGAACCAATAGTAAGGATTAATTATGTCCCGGCAAGGGAATCAGCTATAACCAAACTTGTACCGATAATTATCTTCACAAAAAAACCTTAACTAAACAACAAGACATAACAAGTACGTGATAACTACACCGGTAATCACAAAAATTGGACATGTAACATATTTGTACAAAGTCATAAAGGAACTCACAATCAAGAAGTATCAAAACAATAAGGAAGGCGATCACTTCAATTAAGGTAATTAAGGGTCAATGCAACATGTAGGATTTCAAGGAAAGTTAGCAATATCATATGGAGCATATAGAGACAATTTAAGCAATTATTAAACTCGATCATAACAGAATACTCTCCACATTTGAACATAAGGACCTAGGAACCCTAGAGCATATTCTCCACAAATAAGTCCGAGCACACACTCGTCACCTCACATGCACGGATTATAATTAGCATAGAAGACTCAATTCCTAAGGGGAAGTCCCCCACACAGGGTTAGACAAGATACTTACCTCAAAGGCGACAACTCGGTACTCTAAAATGGACTTCTCGGGCGAAAAGACCTCCGGGCAGCTCAAATCCAACTATAACAACTCCAGAGCACAAATAAATCAAATAAGGAACTATTCCGAATAATAAAGTTTCAATCTTTGCGAAGATATAAAAATCGACCCCCGGACCCGCACCTTGGAACCCGTAAAATTTTACAAAATCCGATCACCTACTCCAAAATTAGTTCAACCATATAAAATTTACTAAATTCCGATACCATTTGGCCCCTCAAATCACGAGTTTTCATTTTAGGATTTTTCTTCAAAAACCAACATTTTACTCAACCCAAATCACAAATTAAATGATAGAAATGAAGACAAATTCATGGAATATAATATTCTAGGTGAAGAACACTTACCCAATCATTTTGCTTGAAAAACCCACAAAGAATTGCCCAAAACCGAGATCTAGAACTCCAAAAATATTGAAAATGGTGTAACCCTCGATCTGGAAATTATATTTTGTCCGCCCAGATTTTGAGCATCACGAATGCGGAGGAAATATCGTGTTCGCGAAGAAGAAAAAGTGGAGGTGCTCAGGTTACTCACCGAACGCAACTATGCGTCCGCGAACGTGAAGAAGGGAAATATGATGGCCCAAGGACTGCCCTTCGCGAACACGGGAACTAGTACGCGGATGCGAAGAGTGGAACGACATAACTACGCGAAAGCGAACGCGAACGCGATGAAGGGAGAGACAGAGCTTCGCGAACGCGAAGAAGGATTTCAGGTGGTCAGCAACAAAGCTTCGCAAACGCGAAAGGCTGCTCGCAAACACGAAACGCTGCTCGCGAACACGAAAGAGGATACCAGAAGCAGAAAGCAGCAGTTCAAAAACAAGGGAAAATGACCCGTAGCCCACCCGGAACACGCCTGAGGCCCCCAGGACCCCATCCAAACACACAAACAAGTCATATAACCTAACACGGACTCGCTCGAGGTCTCAAATCATATCAAACAACGCCGAAACATTGAATCACACCAAGAATCGAACTTAGGAACTTTCAAACCTTCTAACTTCCAAAACTCATGCCGAAACCTATCAATTCAACCCGGAATGACGCCAAATTTTGCAGACAGTCCAAAATGACGGGACGGAGCTATTCCAACTCTCGTAATCGCATTTCGACCCCGATATTACAAAAGTCAACTATGGGTCAAACTTCTCTATTTTCCAAACTTCAACTTTTCCAACTTTCGACGAAACACCTCAAGTTACCCTACGGACCTCCAAATCCGAATCCGAACGTGCGCCTAAGTCCAAAATCACCATACGAAGCTGTTGAGATCACCCATGTCCCATTCCGGGGCTGTTTACTTAAAAGTCCAATTCCGATCAAATTTTCACTATTTAAACTTCCAAAACTAGGTTCCTTCTTCCGGTTCAACTCTGATTCATCCGGAAATTGAATCCAACCATGCACACAAGTCGATATACAAAATGTGAAGCTGCTCGAGACCTCAAACTACTGAATCGGGCGCAATTGCTTAAAACGACCAATCGGATTGTTACATTTGGTCAAAAGTATTTTTTTTCTAAAATTAAGGTGTTTGGCCAGGCTTTTGAAAGGAAAAAAAAAAGCTATTGGGGAGAAGCAGAAAAAAGTAGCTTCTCTCTAAAAGCACTTTTTTAAAAAGCACTTTTGAGAAAAATACACTTAGAATCAATTTTTAAAGCTTGGGCAAACACTAATTGCTGCTTAGAGGTATTTTTCAAATTTATTATTCAAACACAAACTGCTTCTCACCAAAAGTACTTTTGAGAAAAATACTTTTGAAAAAAAAAACACTTCTCAAAATAAGCTAATTTTTGCAGCTTGGCCAAACGGGCTATAATTTTATAATGAGATTGGCTCTTGGTTAAGGCTTCTAAAATGTCTTCTAGCATTTAGCAATTGGCATGCAACCCATACGACAGTTGAATCCATACTCATATTCCAGAAGAGCATTGAATACAATATATACAAATTTATGAGATTTTTACATGCTTTCCCTTTTTAACTATTATTTAAATAAATAATAGCATTTCTCGTTTATTTCATAAAAGCACTTTTTTTTATATTTGCAGCAGATTATAAAAATTAATCTCAATATTTAATAAATTAACGGATTGCACTAGTCAAGGAAGTACCTTTTTTTTCTTACTTTCTCTCTCATCGTATTTTTAGTTTCGTATCTCCATCAACGTATCTCGCTGATGGAGCTTTCATATACTATAGATATTTCTTTTTCTCCTATTTATCATTCACTAATTCACGCTTCCGATAATTTTCACCCTTCTGATAATTTTCACGCTAATTTGCGGGTATTACGATCAATTTTCTTTATGGCGGCGATAATTTTGATATGGAATCGTGCCATAATATTATACAAATTAACTCATAAATATCTTATTGATTCATATAAATATCCGATTACTTCTTCGTTTTCTCTATTGCTTATGTGGGTTTTTGAACTTTAAGGTAAGAAAACCCTGGAATCTATATATTTAATTTATTTTTTACATCAGTTTGTCAATAATTTAATCTTAGGCTTTCATTTTTTTCTGTAGAATTTGCAACAATGGAGAAGTCAAATCAACCACAAAAAAAAGTTTTGAATAATTATTTGGGCAGAGGATTGAAATTGGATGTCTCAGTTGTCAAGGCTATCAGGGATACCTACTGTGATTCTCCTTCAGGAAGTAGTGAAAATGCTTTATCACTTTCTCGTCCCAACTTTGAGTTGTTGTATGAAACTCCTGAAAGGTCTACAAACCAGAGGCGTGTGCAAATAAGGAGTTCAATTGGAGAGATTAGGGAGCAAAGGGTTGAAGGTCTCACAATTGTTTCTAAAGTACCTTCACACTCTACTCCCAAAAGTTATAATCAAGTTGCAAAATCAAACATGGATGAATTAGGTATAAGTAACCATAAACCGACAAGAAAGTTAGATGAGAAGAAACGAGCAAAAGGGGTTGAGGATGAATTTTTGGATATACAATTTCAGTTTGTGAAACACAACAAAAGAAGAAAGGTTGATGGGGCCAGTGGGTAGATAACAAATTTGAAGATATTTTATGTTTGTATTTAAGATTATCGCAACATCAGTTATACTTGTAAATTTTATCAGTTATAGTTTCTTTTTTAATTTATCCGTATAAGGTATAAATATCAAATAAACTATTAAGTTAATAACAGGACTCATTCTTATGAGTTGAAAATATATTTTGTGTAGATTTGGGATTTTTATTTCAAACTGGAATATTTTCACGACCCCAAACCCGGACTCGGTTGTGATGGCGTCTCTGAGAAGACAAGGCTAGCCAACTAAACCCAATTCACTTTTTAAGACAGTTAAACAATATAAAAGCAGTCTAAACATGATTTAATGATAATACGTAGCGGAAATATAACCCAATACAGCCCTAACCGGGGTGTCACAAGTCACAAACATCTACTAGGGTATAAATGCAACTGAAAAGTCTGAAATGTACAAAACAAAGACTAATGAAATGAAGAGGGATAAAAGCAGTGCTGCGAATGCCGGCAGCTACCTTGCTAAACTCCGATGACTCTGCATCCGATCAGCCAAAACCCGCTACCGGGTGTATAAATACCTGAATCTGCACACAAGGTGCAAGGAGTAAAGTGAGTACTCCAACTCAGTGAATAACAAATATAAATAATGATTGAAAGTAAGAAATCACGTAAAATACAAGGCATTCCATACAGAAGCAGTAAAATCACTTAAAACAGTAAAACAGTGAAAAATCGAGTGAAAATCCCTTTCTCAACAAGTAAAACAAGTAATTGACAGGTAAGTAAACAAATAGAAATTTGCCCCTCGGGCACAGTACCAACAAATCCGCCCCTCGGGCAACTTCTCAGAACAGTACCAGCCCCTCGGGCTCAAATCTCAGAACAATACTAGCCCCTCGGGCTCAATCTCACATCACAATGGGTACCCGCGCTCACTGGGGGTGTACAGACTTCGAGAGGGGCCTCTTACGACCCAAGCGCAATATCAAGCCACCTCGTGGCATCATAAACATGCTCTCGGCCTCGTATCAATATCAAACCGCCTCGTAGCGCACAATCTCAGGCCCTCGACCTCATTATCATAATCATTGTCTCACTGCTACGGTGTACAACCCGACCCAAAAGTATCCTCACAATACAAGCCCTCGGCCTTACTCAGTCAAAAATCACATAAGCCACTCAGGCAACAGTAAAACATAACGCTCAGCACAAAATATTATTTAAAATATCATTTCAAGTGTTAAAGCAGAGTAAACAAGGCTGAGTTTTGAAAACAATGGAAAATAACATGACTGAGTTCAAGTATAAAGTCAAAACAGTAAGGAAATATCAACAAAAATCCCCGAAGGGTTCAAATAGCTGGCACTAGGCCCAAATATAGCTTTCAGCCCAAATAATGATGATAGCAAATAGTTTTCAATCAAATACGGGGTAAAATCATCAATCAGGACAGACCAAGTCACAATCGCCAATAGTGCACGACTCCACGCTCGTTATCAAGCGTGTGCCTCACCTCAATATAGCACAACAATGTGCAATCCGGGGTTTCAAACCCTCAGGACATCATTTACAATCATTACTCACCTCGATCCGGTCTGAACTCTAGCCCGCGATGCCTTGTCCGCATGAATCGACCTCCGGATGCTCCAAATCTAGCTACAATCAGTATATAATCATTAAAATATGCTAAGGGAGCGAAGCCCACTCGAAAATATCCAATTTAACATCAAAATCCCGAAATTGCTCAAACCCGGCCCGCCAGGCCCACACTTTGGAATCTGACGAAACTCACAAAATCCGATAACCCATTCAACCACGAGTCCAACCATACCAAAATTATCCAATTCCGGTACCATTTGGTCCTTCAAATCATCATTTTATATATATTTTTTGAAAGATGCCACAAATTTTCTTCCCAAATTCCATCCCAAATCACGAATTCAATGATAGATTCATGTACTATAGCCAAATCTGAGTTAGAATTACTTACCCCGATGAATTTCTTGAAAAATCGCCAAAATCCGAGCTCTCTAGGTCAAAATATTAAATAAAATCCAAAACCTCATATTTATAGAGTACCCCACGGATTTCCACCTCTACGGACTGCACAAAAACGACTGCGGCCGCACATGTTTTTATTTGCAGTGACAGGCTTTAGTATTTTGGTCATACCTTTTGCTACAATGTCCAAATTGCAATATCTTTACCTTTCCGGAAACTAGACACGAAGGGCTACAACTTTCGTTTTTGAATCATCTCAAAATTCCTTGTATATCAAAAGATATGAGCTTCCGAAGTAGGACCAATGAAATGTTCCCCACCGCGGCCGCACTGCATTTTCTGCGGTCCGCACAACACCTACCGCGGACGCACTTCTTTTTGTGCGGACCGCGCTGGTGGGTTCCGAGGCCTGCAACCCTTCTGGACCTGCTACAGCTATGATTTTCGGCCTAAAACATCCCGGAACCTCCCCGGAACCTACCCGGAACCCTCGGTACTTCAAACCAATTGTACCAACACATCCCATGATATCGTTCAAACTTGTTCAAAACTTCGGAATGCTCATAACAACATCAAATCACCAATTTAACATAGGATTCAAGCCTAAGAACTCCAAGAACTCTTAAATTATGTTTTCGATCAAAAAGTCTATCAAATCTCGTCCGAATGACCTGAAATTTTGTACACACATCCCAAATGACACAACAAAGCTACTGCAACACTCAGAATTCCATTCCAACCCCTATATCAAAATCTCGCCTATCAAATGGAAATCGCCAAAATATCAACTTTACCAATTCAAGCCTAAATCTTCTTTACAACTGCAAAACCCATTCCGATCATTCTCCTAAGTCACAAATCACCTCCCCAAGCTAACCGAACCATCAGAACTTACATCTGAGCCCTTTAACACATAAGTCAACATCGTGTTGACTTTTCCAACTTAAGTCTTCTTAAAAAAGACTGAGTGTCTCATTTCTTACCAAATCTTCCCCGAACTCAAACTAATCAACCCGATCACATAAAATACGGATAACGAAGCATAAATAAGCTAAAATGGGGGAAATGGAGCATTAACTCATGAGACAACTGGCTGGGTCGTCACATCCTCCCCAACTTAAACAAATGTTCGTCCTCGAACGTGCCCAGAGTTGTTCCAAAAGCCAACCAAACGCTGAATAACCTTACCGTGCATATACCCGGGGTGATCCAATGTCACCCTATCTCATATCGGTCCGATAACACATTGTAACTGAAATTTCACAACGCAATCTAGCCCATAAAACATATAACCATATTTCCACTTCTAAAATCATCAATACGATCAGAATCTCACATTTATATTATGGATAAGCCCGAACAAGCTGTAATAACCCATACCTGCAACCTTAGGTTCAATTACATGATAAACCACATAACTCAAACGCTTGTAGCAATAACTTCTATTCACAGTAGCTGCCCACAACAATCGAATACCGGTAGAAAACTCTTATCAACTAAAGTCTCATCCCAACACTTTCATATACTGCCAATGATCACTAAAACACGCGGTAAGCCATAACCATTTCCCAAATCAACCATTCATGAAGCCATTTCTTCTTTGGCAAACACTATAACAAATTTCTGAGTTGAACCTCGATATTACCCTTCCCACATGCTGAAATTTAATCCGTTCGTATTCATTAATGATCCCAGCGGTCTCCTCTAGTCCAATACACTACTTTGGTGACATGACACATCAATACAGGCCTAAGCCACAACTTGCATAATACACACACTAATAAGCAACAATCCGAACATACTCAAATCATGAAAATGACCTAAATAGAAGAGCTGTACCTCAAGCTCACCAGTACCACCACAACACAAAGCTGAGAACCCGCCTAACATCATAGGAACAGAACACACAAATCTAACCCCCAAGGTCATACTCCACACAACTTTGCTGCAATGCGCGACCATATCCAAACACTACTCCACGTGAAACACCTCAAGTCACTCTGCTCGAAATTGACGACCACGCGCAATTGATGTCTAGAACCAAAGCAAATCATCATACCCACAGTAAAGCAAATACATAACACCGCATAACCCGAAAGAACATAACCGATGCGCCATCTGCCAAGCAATATCTGATACTCCTCCCGCTCATATTCCACTTAGAGACCCCAATAACACCGCACCACATGTGCCTATAACCAATAAATCCTAATGCCTCACAACACGGAAGGGTAAATCATAGATCTCCCCAGATTACTAATAAGCTCAATAATAATCGAATCAATACATCCCTCAACAATACAATTCGGAGCTAACCAAGCTGACTCAAATTAAAACACGCACCCACATTGGCCTGCCAACGAACTCCTTATCAAGGAAATCTTGAAGCTGCTCCTTCAACTCCTTTAACTCTACCGGTGCCATACGATACGGTTCCCATCATCAAATTAATACCGAAATCAACAACCTTGCCTGGCAACTTGCCCAGCCACAAGAAACACATCCGAAAAGTCCCTCACTACCAAAACTGAATCAATACGAAGGGTCTCTGCACTGACATCCATCACGAGAGCCCGAATAAGAAAGACAATCCTTCCCAGTCATCCGCTGGTCTTCAAAATATATAAAATCACCCTATTACAAACACAAAATCCGTCGAACCTCGTCCCTCAATCCGTGGCACTTCCAGCATAGCCAATAGCGTCGCCTTAGTACAATAGTCCAGAATGACACAACACAATGACAACCAGTCTGAACCCAATATCGCATCCAAGATTTAACATACCAAACACAAAAGGTCTGCTCGGGTCTCCAAATCCCGATAGTCACTAAACAGTGCCAATACATACGACTCACAACTACCACATAGCCTGAATATGAGAACTTCCCGTCTCCAACTCCATATGGCCCATGAATCAACATACCTGATCCCAATTCCGCCATCCGAATGCATACCACACCTCAAATACCCAATCATTCCACGAGAGATACTCTAAAATTCCTCTATGCCACCAACCAAACTCGAATACCAGCAGTCGATCTAACAAGAAGGTGCCACAATACTATTGTAGTACCTCAA